ATTTCTTTACCATGTATTTCAGACACTGAAAGGTTTAGAATCATTAAATCTTGTAAGGTGAATGTTGTATATTTATGATAAAAAAAACTCATATGCTAATACATACTGATGTAAACTGCATCAACTTTTATTGACCTTGACCTTTCCATGGACCTCAGTTTTTATTTATTTATTTTAAACTATACAAATTATGTTTTACCAAACTTAATATGCTGATACATATTTTTGAGAATTGTTAAATCATAAACATTTGATCTTGACATTTCCTGAGGCTGTGACTTGTCTTTTCATGTGACATTGACAAATATGTTACCTTTCATGGCTCGAAGTTGCAACTATTAAAAATGGTTGCATTTGTGACCAATAAATATATATTGCGACTAGAAGTTAAAATTGACTTGCACTTTCCTGACTCAGAAAATATGGACTGGCATGGCAATGTCCATTTTTAGCTCACCTGAGCCGAAGGCTCAAGTGAGCTTTTCTGATCACATTTTGTCCGTCGTCCGTCCGTCTGTGTGTCTGTCTGTCCGTCTGTAAACTTTTCACATTTTCAACTTCTTCTCAAGAACCACTGGGCCAATTTTGAGCTAACTTGGTACAAAGCATCCTTGGGTGAAGAATTTAAATTGTTAAATTGAAGGGGCATATCCCCTCGCAAGAGGAGATAATCAAGAAAAGACAAAAATAGGGTTGGGTCATTAAAACATCTTCTTCTCAAGAACCACTGGGCCAGTAAAGCTGAAACTTATGTGGAAGCATCCTGAGGTAGTGTAGATTCTAAATTGTTCAAATCATGACCCCCGGGGGAAGAGCGGGGCCACAATGGGGAATCAAAGTTTTACATAGAAATATATAGGAAAAATCTTTGAAAATCTTCTTCTCAAGAACCACTGGGCCAGAAAAGCTGAAACTTATATGGAAGCATCCTGGTATAATGTAGATTTTAAATTGTTCAAATAATGACCCCCAGGGAAGGGCCGGGCCACAATGGGGAATCAAAGTTTTATATAGAAATATATAGGAAAAATCTTTGAAAATCTTCTTCTCAAGAACAACTGGGCCAGAAAAAGTGAAGCTTATGTGAAAGTATTCTGGGGTAGTGTAAATTCTAAATTGTAGGAATCATGACCCCCGGGGGAAGGGCGGGGCCATTATAGGGAATCAAAGTTTTACATAGAAATATATAGGAAAAATCTTTGAAAATCTTCTTCTCAGGAACCACTGGGCCAAAAAAGCTGAAACATATGTGCCCATTGAAGGATCATGGGGGTAGTGTAGATTTCAAAATGTCTAAATTATGATCAGTGGGGTAGGGTTGGGATGCATTATGTATAACAAGGGGGAAATCTGGTAAAGAACAGAATGGTCAAAGCTTCTCAGGTGAGCGATGTGGCCCATGGGCCTCTTGTTAAGATTGGGATCCAGATTACGTTTATTAGGATTCTCTTTCAAAAAAATGATTAAAGACATATACTTTAATTCTCTATAAATATGATAAAGTGTTGCAGGGGCTTGGATCCTGTAATGATATTACAGCGTGCTGTAAAAGTGACTACTTGTGCAAAGTTTGATAGAACCATAGACATACATGTATATACATAATGTCCATGATGAAATGAATGGATTTCACTGCAAAATCTCAAAGGCTTTTCTAGATATCACATGGAAATAAAAGTGTTACAGACAAACAGAACTACAGACAGACAGGCGAATAGACAGACTGAAATTCATATCCCTTACTCGTGTTTCTTTTAGCCGGCAACGGAAAGAATTGGTTTCACAGATTTGTTTTATGGTTTTTTTGTTTTTTTTCAGAGTAATCTGTTGCATGTGAAGTCATGGCACACTATTCATCTGATGAAGGAGGATGTTATTCTTCTGAAGAAGAAAACATTGGTAATTATATTCACCTTCTTGTGGTCTTTACTGTATGTTCAGTTAGATGTGTCAAAGGTTTTCATAAAATTCTCTGTTCAAAGTTACTGTAATCATGATCAGTGAGTATTGTAAATTTATTCATTTCTGGTGGTCCATGATGATTTGTCTGTCTTCTTGTGTTGTACCTTTTGAATCGTTCACTTTCTAAATTATTATACTTTAATTCCACAACAGATCCAGTTGGCAAAAGGAAATGTGCTGTTTACTCTTCAGATGAGGAACTCCAAGATGACAGAATATTATCTAAAAGACCCAACAGACAACTTGATCATGATGACAGTGGTAATAAGATGTATTAAACTTTGTCTTTATGAGTTTACAAGGCACTTGAAAAAAAAAGGAACTTGAAATTTGGACTAAAAATTCAGTTAATTAAAAAAGTTAATTTTAATCCAAATCTAGTAAATCTAATATATGATATTCCTTTTTTTCTAGAAAAGATTCAGTTTTATATATTTTTGATTTTGATAATTTAATTTTTTGGTCAGTGAATTTTCTGAAGTAATTTATAAAAACAAATGTTTCTTTTCCCCCTTAGTTTGTATACCAGACGTGTTGCCAAGTTGCCCAGATTTCTCCTCAGATGAAGACTTTTTCATGATGACAAATACTGATTGTCCTGACCTTGCTGACCACGATGAAGAAGATATGGATGAAAGCCACAGTCAACCACTATCAGGTAGAATAATTAATTTATGATGTACAGCATGGTATGTAGTAAATACTAGTATATTACATGTAGACTTGTGATAATGTATAGCTATCTAGGGTTTTCAACTTGGTTTACTATCAGGAAAAAGTTATTGAAATATGGCAGATGGAAAGTGGATGGCTGGCAACAGAGTACTTGAGTTGGATGGGGTCGCAATATGGGGTTCACATTTTATATAGGAATATAGGTATACATATATATGGAAAATATATCCTCAGAAATGTCCAAAACAAAGCGGCAATGTTTTAATTACTCTTTTTGATATGGAAGCATCCACAGGTAGTATTGGTTTAAATTGAGCTAGGTCAAATCTCCGGGGTGGGGATGGTGGTGGTGGGTTACATTTGGGTGATCACTAGAGATGAAATTTTTATATGTTTATATACATAACAATTTTATTTTCAAAAATCTATTCATTATATAACCCTTGAAAACGGCAAAGTCGTGATAAGCCATATTGAGGTCCTGTTGATTCAAGTTTGTTTAGATCAAGACCCCTTAGGGGTAGGGTGGAGTCACAATGAGAGAACCAAATCTTTACAAAGGAATATACGATATTATAGCAGGGCCATATTGACTCTGTGATCTTGTGACTCATGGGTCTCTCATACTAGGTATTTTTTAAAGCATGAAAAGTAAAAGAAAGATCATTGGTTGTGAGACATTAGTTGATGATGCGAATAATGACATATGCATTTATTTAGCATGTTTAGATTGACCTCTTTAAAGTATGACTTTTATTTGGACATAACGCCATAAATAAATAAATCTGCACTGATTGATCAGGTCAACAAAAATCTGTAAAATTTAAAAAAAAAACTCTGAAAATACTTTGTTGGATATTTAAGGTTAAAGAATAAGATCCTAATATTGATCTGATTTGGACAGATACCTTAGACCAGTTTAATATTTTACAGAAAGGACATTGAATGTGGTGCACTGTAAACCAGACAACAGACAACGTAAGTTATAGTATTTAAATTTTCTTCATCTGTATTGACATGATTTCAAATTAAAAAAAATCAAGCTCTAAAATCATTTAAATGGAACAAAATTCAATCAAAAGGACTAACATTTCATCAAATGTTTGAATGATGATATAAACTATTATTATACGCCCGTCTTAAGACGGGTCGTATTATGTTATAGGCTTCATGTCCGTCAGTCCATCCGTCTGTCTGTCCATTCCTGTCCGGCTCATAACTTGTATACTATTAGGCCTAGGATTATCAAACACTGTCAACTGATACTTCTTGGGTAGACAGTGTGTCACGCACAAAAAGTAGGTCGCTCTGACCTTTAATAAAGATGCTACAGCAAAACTCGGTTAGTACGAACACGGATATAGCGAATTTACGGATATAGCGAAGTCATTTTGGATCCCCAGCTATATAAATTTAATGAATTTCTTATACGGTTATAACGAATTACGGATATAACGAAGTGATTTCATAGGTCCCAACGACTTCGTTATAACCGAGTTTTACTGTATAACCAAATATGGAAAAATCCTGTCCGGCTCATTACTAGAAAACTATTAGACCGAGAGCTTTCAAACTTGGCAAAAGTATACATCTAAAGTAGAAGGTGTGTTGCGGCCTATTTCAAGGTCACTGTGATCTTTAATTAAAGTGATTTTTTTTAAAAAACTAAGTTTTTTAAATTCTAAATTTCATAATCCTAACAAATGTAAAAATAAAGTTGTATCCTTATTAAAAGATGTTAAATTAAGTAAAAACTTATTTTTTCATTATATACTTTACAGCAATCTTTAACAAATGTTTATGCTTTGAGAGGAATTCAGTTTGTCCCATGGGCATAATTATCAAGCACTGGTCAAGAAGAATTTTGATAGCAGAAATTTGCATGTCAAATTAGAGAGAAATTTAGAATTTAGATCTAAGGGCAGATCACTCTAACTGCAGAAAAATACCCAAGAATTAGAACTCTTTAGTGTGCAGTGTTGAGAGGTTTCTTAAAATTTTATAGTCTTAAGAATAATTTATGTTTGATTTTTGACTGTAGCATTTCCATTATTTCATAAAATATGCAATAAACAATTTTAAGCTGTAGATGGATATTTGTTATGCTCTAACACAACCAGTTTAGAAGTATATGATGTTATTATTTGTTATAATCAATCCCTACACTGTAAGGTCTCTTAGAGATGTATGATAAGAAATGGAAATTAGATAATTGAAATTTGTGTCAATCTGTTAATCAAGGCAGCCTGATTTTCTTTCATCTCAACCAATTCATGATTATTGAACAATATTTGACGGGCGTATCATGCTGTGGCGGGGCACTTTATTTTTTATGAAACCAAACATTTCATATATATTTTCAGCACGCAAAAGAATGAAGAAATCTGGGGGGTGTCTAGAGAGCAAGGAAACCAGCATCGATACTATCCACCAAGTTAAAGACCTGAGGTGTTGCATGGAACTTTGCTTAGAGAAGTTAGACGTGAAGACTATTGAGCAAGCCAGGAGAGACTTTTACATGAAGAAACGAGATGAGCAGACAGAATTCATCTTCAATAGTCTTCGGTAAGATAATTTTTTTTAAAATTATCCCCCCCCCAAAAAAAGAAAAGAAATGGAAAGGGGGTAACTATTTAACTCTTGTGTGTCTCTCCATAGCAAATTGTTGGTCACAGTTTTCTCAGCAACTACTACCCTCAGAGTCTTGAATTTTAGCACATTCTTTGCTGAGGCATGTCATACAGTGAGGTTCATTTTCTTGTGAATCTGATGTCAACTTCTTGTTTATCTGTGCATCCGTCCTTATACCATACATTAAAAAAATGTCATTTTACTCAGCAACTAATCATTGCAGAGGCTTGAAATTTTAGAACATTCTTTGCTGAGGCATGCAATATGGTGGGATTTAATTTTGTTTAAATCAGATGTCAACTTCCTGTTTATCTATGTGCCTGTTCATAGCTGAACTTGCATATATTAATATGTTAGTGTATATTCACATTAGAGCAGGGGTATTACTACAGAGCATTGGGTCACTGACTTCCTTTTTGTTAATGGTGACCTATTGCTATCTGTTTCTGTCCGTCGTCGTCTGTCGTGTGTTAACATTTGAACATTTTCAGCTTCTTCTCTGGAACCGCTGAACCAATTTCTACCATATTTGGTATACAGCATCTATGGGTGAAGGGGAACATAAATTGTGATTTTCATGGTCCCCGCCCCCCTGGGGCCTGAGGGGTGGGGCCAAAACCACTAAAATTATCGCAATCTTTAAAAATCTTCTTTCTCATGGACACCAAGCAGGCAAACTGTTTGCATGATTGTAATCAGCATGATTGTAATCAGCATTGAGTCCTCTACCAAAATTGTGTAAATTCATAGCCCCTGGGTAGGGCGAGGCTAAATAGAATATATAGTGAAAAAGCAAAAATTCTTTGAAAATCTTCTTCTCTGCTCCTGTGTATTAAATAAACAAAGTAAGCACAGTTATGATGAGCAAGAGTGCCTCTTCCAGATTTGTGAATGTTATGGCCCAAGGGTCAGGGGTTTTTGTGTTAGGGTGGGGCTATATAGATTATATAGTGAAAATGCAAAAACTCTTTGAAAATCTTCTTCTCTACTTCTGGGTATTAAATAAACTGACTAAGTACATAGTTATGATCAGAAAAAGTGCCTCTTCCAGATTTGTGAATTTTATGGCCCGGATTGGCCCCAGGGTCAGGGGTTCTTGTGTTAGGGTGGGGTTATATAGATTATATAGTGAAAATGCAAAAAATCTTTGAAAATCTTCTTTTCTACTTCTGGGTATTAAATAAACTAACTAAGTAAACAGTTATGATGAGCAAGAGTGCCTCTTCCAGATTTGTGAATTTAATGGCCCCAGGTTCAGTGGTTCTGGTGTTAGGGCGGGGCCATATAGATTATATAGTGAAAGTGCATTTATTTTTTGAACATCTTTTTCTCTGCTCCTGGGTATCAAATAATCTAACTAAGCACAGTTATGATGCGCAAAAGTGCCTCTTTCAGATTTGTGCATTTTATGACCCTAGGGACAGGGCTCCTGGTGAAAGGGCGGGCTCTATTGATTATATAGTAAACTTAATTTTTTGAAAATATTTCCTTTTCTCCTGGGTTTTATGCCAATGATCCAAGAATATATATTAATGATGAAGAAAGGTGTATCTAGCAAAGGGTTTTTTTTATGCCCCCTGGGTCAGAGAGGGGGGGGGGTACATAGTCTGAAAATAAATTAATGCTTTAAAATCTGCTCTTTGGTATTAATCAACCATTTTATGATGAAATTTGCAAAGGCTTTAAATTTGTAAGGGACAGCTTTTGTTGACCCTAGTTCTTTTAATATAATTATCAGCATTCAGGAATTTAAATGCCTGTGTTCAGTAGAACTAGAAGATTTCCCAAAGTTCTTAAGTCTGGGGATAAAAAACCGCATACTTGTTGGATAAAACTCATATTTTTGCTTTTATGATATTAAAGATGAATTCTGTTTTTTTTTTAGCTGCAGTTATGCTCATGTTGAAAAAGGAAGCAAAGTAACTTTCGTGGCATTTGGAGTAAGACTGTGTCAGACTGGATGGAGAGCTCTCTATGGCGTTAAACCTAGGAGGTTAGTAAAGACCTTTTTTTCCACAAATGATTCACATTTAAAATTATAATAATGGTGGATGCTGTATGATTAGTCGAATACTAAGTATCAAATTAATAGAGTTGGTAGGATATCAGGGGTATTCAAGATTGTTCAAATGAAAAACCATGCCTTCTTCCAAGGGGAGATAATTTTGATTTTATGAAAAATCAATAGTATCGTTTAACAAGAGGCTCAATGGCATTGAATTGTTCTTCTGATAAATTGTACAATCAATCACTTCTATTTGAAGCCTCTAACACTAAGTATCATAAGACCCAAGTTGCATCAACTGATAAAGTTTGATGATTCTTAGCCAATTAGGATTGAAGATATTTTAATGAAGCTATAAATAAAACATAAGTATGTCATAATGACCTACTTTAACATTGAAGTTTCCTGAGGACTCAAGATACTTAAAAATATCCATAAAGTATCGCAGGTAGATCACTGTGACCTATTTTTTTAGTGTACGATTTTTGAAAACCCAAGATACATTAATTTACAAAGTTTGATGATAAAGCCAATAAGTACCTACTTTTTAGCTCACCCGCTCCTTCCACATGTTCCATGTGAGCTTTTCTGATAAAAATTTGTCTGTCGTTGTGGTTGTTGCCGTTGTTTTCCTTAATTTTTCACATTTTCATCTTCTCAAGAACCACTTGGCCAATTTCAACCAAACTTGCCACAAAGTATCATTGGGTGAAAGGGATTCAAGTTTGTTCAAATGAAGGGCCAAGCCCTCTTCAAAGGGGGATAATTATGAATTAGTAAAAAATTAATTGCATTTTAATAAATCTTTCTCAAAATACGCTTGGCCATGAAAGATGAAACTAATGTGGAATCATCCTCAGATAGTATAGATTTAAGTTTGTTCATATTATGACCCCTAGGGGTAGGGCAGGGCCAGAATGACCAACCAAAGTTTTACATAGAAATGTATAGGAAAAGTCTCTAAAAAATCTTCTTCTCAAGAATAACAAAGCCATGAATGGTCATATTATAAGTTGAAATTTCTGCACTCCAATTTGTGGGTTTCAAGAATACATTATCTCATTGTGTGGTTATGAATATTCAATTCTTTCAGAGAACATATGTTGTGGGTTTGTGGGGGACCCTTAAAAGTGAGCTCATCCAAGTTTTATGGCCCCCTGTAAATTGTTGATAGAGAACTTGATGCATGCTAAAAGTAACAATTTATTGTAGGTATTGGATAATAAAGGCAAAAGTGAAGGAAGGATGTCAGTCACTGGATACTGAGGATGGAAGAAGTGGACAGAAATTTGCCAGTGAGATGTATTTACAGGCCAAAACGTACGTCGAAACCACTGCTGTGAGATATGGTGACCAACAGCCTGACTGCAGAGAAGTCCACCTTCCATGTTGCCTAAACAAGACAATTGCATATGAAGACTACCTAAAAACATTTCAAGACAGAGGTCTGCATTGTGTGTCCAAACGAAGCTTCTACAGAATATGGAGAGAACATTTCAACAATGTTAAAGTCAGAAAGGTAAGACCAAGTTTATCAATGTACATTGTGATTGTAAGGCTAAAATTTGATTCCTAGGCAATATATCTCCAAAAAATTGGTTTCAGGGAGGGTTTCCAATCATTTTATTGGCAATAAAGTAGATGATTTTTTTTACACTCACCTTTTCTTTAAATCAAATTGATCAGTTTTAGATAATATATATACTTTCCATACTTTTCATGTGTGATCAATAGCTTTGCATTATTGCTATATCATTGTGTAAACATAGGGTATTGTCTTCAAAGAAGTAACCAAGTCTCTTAAAAATTGCTAACAAAAGTGATAGTTGAGTACTTAACTATGAGAAATGATTAGAGAACTTTTTTCTAGATTGGGCTCCAAATGGCCAACTTTTTTTTTATCAAACATACAATAAAATTTGGGGTGTGGCTATCTTAAAATCAATTTGTGCGGGCCTCAGAACATTTCAATTTATGTGGCCTTAATGAAATTTGAAAAGTTTTGTACAAGCTCCAAGTTTTAAAGTCTTTATATAATAATCACATACATAGACAAAAAATAATTAGGAATTTCTTTAAAAAAATTATATAAATATATTGTGATTTTCACATCAAATTGAAAATTTTGGAAATCATTTTTTTAGATTTTCATTACACTAATTTTTAGTTGTAATATTTTTAAAGATATGAATAGTATTTTTTTTTGCATATTTACTTTTTTTGAGAATAAAGTGGAATTTACAGCCACGTTCATCTCAATCTAATTAAAATTAGAAGTTAGCTCTCACATACTCGATACACTTACATTTAACAACATCCCATAGAGGGTAACATCAGAGTTCAAAATCAGAACAACTCAACTTATTCACTCAATCAAATCTACAGTGATTTTGCAGGCAACAATCAAATACACTTACATTTAACAACATCCCATAGAGGGTAACATCAGAGTTCAAAATCAGAACATCTCAACTTATTCACTCAATCAAATCTACAGTGATTTTGCAGGCAACAATTTGATTGGTTTATACAATTTGACCTCTGATCTGACCCTCTATGGGATGTTATTGGTTATTAGTGCATTGAGTATGCGAGTGAATCTAACATCTGATTTAATTAGATTCCATTCCAGTTAAACAATTTTACAAGGTTGCATCCATGGAATTGAGAATTGTTTTTCTCTTTAGTTTCAGAAGTTTTCCAAGTGTAATGAGTGCACAACTTTTAGGGAGGCACTTTCTCAGAAGCTCACCAAGGAAGAAAGACTGAGGCTACAGGCTCAACGACAAATTCATTTGAAATTTCAAGAGTAAGTTAATAATTAACTATTTGTAATTTCAAATATATAAGGCTGATAATGAATGAAATAAAGGCTAACTTTGACAGCTTATCTAAATAAAAAAATGATAAATTGGCAACATATAGTATTCAGTATTGTTCAACAGTAATTTGATAAGAAAAAAAGAACGAGATGTTTTCTCTGTGACATTGTGATATTTTCACATTTAAATTGTTATGCCAATTTTTGGAAAATTAAATTCAAGTGTTGTATAAATAATATATCTTATTCTTTTATCCAAAATTAGATTATCAAGAGAAAAGTACTACAAGCACAGAAGCAAGAGCAGAGAGAATCCAGCTAAATACACCAGTCTGATAATAGACAACATGGATCAATCTAAGACCAACTTACCAAGATTTCCAGAGAATTTCAAGGTATTGAATTAATGAAGTCTCTATACATTTACCTGAAGTACTAATGAAACTCATGAACATGATGAAAGCAAATATGCATTAATTTGAAAATAGAATTGGCAAAGTATGTTTCAGTACATTGTTATGTGCTCACACATTTTATCACATTTATTTATAATGTTGAAATTGTTATCTGGTACATTTGTAATTAGTGTACATTTATCATTGAAACTAATGAATATTCAATGTTTCAGAGTGAGACGGGACTGACGCACATTCATCACCATGTGACGGGTGTTTTGAACCATGGCATCAACAAATCCTATGTGTATACCTGGACGGATCAGTTTTCCTCTGACTGTAACATAACACTGAACTGCTTGATGCTAGTCTTGAAAGATACAGCAATGGTAAGTTATTTGTAAATTCTTTTATGGGTATTTCTAAATTTTTTGGTCATTTCGTGTGACATTTTAATTTGATAGAATTATGGTAATCATTCTCCAAAATTACTAATACATTTCTTGGATTATATGTCATGCTTATTTATAAATGCCTGTTTTAGATTACATAACATTCATGGAAGCTCTTACTTGCTGAAATATTTCTATCTATCTGAGAGATTATCATGACCCTGACTAAGGTCATTCTGGCAAGGTCTAGGTCACCAACTTAAAGAGTCTAAAATTGTGACATGAGTTTCTAATGTAGAAGGAGCATTGGATGTTTATATTTTACTAAATGATTACTGTAAACGGGAGGATGTAACTTTTATTTTTAGGCAATGATTTTTTGGCAAGTTACATTCACAAATTTTGAATGGTCACTTTAGGAAATTTCAGCAAGGGATATATTATTTAATGAACTAAGTTTCAGTACCTCTTTTTCAATTTACTTCTCTACCTCTTAAAAATATATATCCTGTGCCTTAAAAAATTACAGAATACAAAGTCAAAACTCATAAAACTTTCATCATAATTCATATAACAGAAGATAGAGACGCTTATGAAAAATAGAAAAAAAATTAGAAAAAGTTTAAAGTACAAGATATGCGTATCAAGATATGAATATTTAAAGAAGTATATCAATAAATAGCTAATTTGTATACATTGTTTCTAGATTAACAATGGATCACTGCCTCCAGTATTGTACCTGCAAGCAGACAACTCCCCAAAGGATAACAAAAACAAGTTTGTTATCATGTTCCTGGCAATGCTGGTTAAAGCTGATATATTGAAGAAGGTAAGACATAACGTTGCACATAAATAAGTTACGATTCTTGACAAACCTCTTTATAAGTTTAACTTAGCATCATTTACTGACTAAAAATTACAGTTTACTAATTTAAATTTATATAATTTAGTTTTAATTTGTGGGTTCATGGCACAAATGATATTTTGGTGTCACCTGCAGAGCTGCACTTAGGGATTACTTACTGACCCGTTGTCTGTCTATCAGTTGAGTGTCTGTCTATCTGTCCACTAACTGTCCATCTGTTACACCTTGTATCTCAAGAACTGTAAGAGATATGGACTTAATATTCTGCAAATTTATTGCTTGGTACTATGGCATCTGTAAATTGTCATGGTTACCGACCTAATGAACCTTGACCTTGTCCTTTGACTTCCTTGACTTAAAAGTTAAAAATACCAATATACAGCATATTTGTGACATATGAAGGGGTAATTTTGTGCACTGATCATGAAACTTTATGAAGTACCAGCATTAGAATTCACTTGACCTACTTTACAAAGAATGCCCCGAACAATTCAATTTAACTGAAGACTTTTTAGTTTCGAGTAGTGGGTGTTAATAATTAAACTTTATCATGTTTATGAGTGGATAATACTGTTCTTGAACCGTGTATGATATTCAGTAACCACACAAGCTGATTAGATATTATGAAAAACATGAAAGAATGCTTAAATTCTTATGTTAAAATTCTTTCAGTGGTATTCATACATTTTCTACATTGTAGATAAAGCTGACATTCCTGATGGTGGGCCACACCCACGAAGACATTGATCAGATGTTCAGCTGCATCAGCAGGGAGGCCCACACACAGAAGATCATTACACTGACACATCTTCATGAGATGGTGGAGAAAAGCTTCTGTCCAAAACCAGAGGTCCAGCACCTAGACAATCTCTGGGATTTCAGGGGGATGACATCCATGGAGAGAAGTCTACGGGGAATAAAGGAGCCTCATGTCTTCAAGATTTCCAAGAAGTCCGGGAGAGTGATGCTGTCATACAAAGACTGGCCCATCTCCCAAGAGGTATATCGTGATGTTGATCTTCATGACTTGGTGCCAGGATTTGCAGATGGGCCAGATGTGGTCGAGCCAAATTTCACGAAGATCAACAGCATCACCGAAGACATGAGGCGGGATCTCCCTAGGTGGGCAGAGACTGGAAGGTTCACAGCTTCTGAAGTGGACTGGTGGACCTCCTATCTGACATCAATGCAGAAGAAGAAGGAGGACCGCCCCTTGCCGATCGCCCCATCTACCCTGCCAAGGTACAGTGCCCTGCCTAGAACAGAGTCCGTGTTGGAGACGAATCTACATGGAGCCATCAACCGACACATGGAGAGGCTTCAACGTTCTAGCAGGGTACAGGTCAGTGGTAGGGGAGTCCAACATTCCTAGGCCAAATTGTGATGATCAGGAACAAAGAGTTCCTCTTACAAAACTGAAAATCATGTGAATACTCGCATTTATGTAAAAGCATCATGGTCTTGTATTTATTTATTTCTCAAATTGTTAGATTGATTTGAATGCACCAAAATATTCTATATTTTTGTTGACAATGTATTTATCAAAAATAGTCTTGTGACTGATGTCTATTATTGTGACTTGTATTTATTTATTTTTCAAATTATTAGATTGAATTGAATACACCAGAATATTCTATATTTTTGTTTACATTGTAGTTATCAAAAATAGTCTTGTGACTGATGTCTTTATTGTGATGTTTCATAAAAGGTGCAATTGTCCAACAGGCCAATCAATTTTATGGCTTATGCACTTGTGTATTTATTTTTATATAATGAATATTTATTGAATACAATATGATTGTACCTTTCCATGCAAATCATTATTAAAGTTGACATATTATGTGTAGTCACTATTGGTAGAGATGTTCAGGCTAATTTAATTGAAGAAAAGTTTGTAAATTATTTTTATTTTTCCGATATTTAAAATATTTTTATGGTCACACTTTCTATGTATTTGTAGAATAAGAGATTTTTTTCAACAAGGATAAGGTATGGAAATTATATGATATTAAAATTAAGATATTCAGGTTTATACATTGAAATTGACAAGTACAAACACTGGTGTATAAAAGTCAATAGTGAACACCTTTTTTGTTTCTTTACAGACCAATCATCTCAACAAAAATATAGCTTTGCTAGTCCTTTCTTTGATTTGCGAAATATTTTGTTTTTATAGTCACAGAAATACCATTCATACTGTCTCATCTGCGAGATTGTTCATCAATTTGTATTTCTTTTCTATCTAATGTATTAATCAGTTATTATAAACGTTTGGTTTGTATGAAAATACATGAACAGTATAAAATTTTCAGATGGGACCAAATAATTTGAAATTGTTCTAAAAATTGTCAATATTTTTGTTCAAGGGAAACAACAGAAATAAAAGGAATTATAAAGCATACATTTTTTATCTTCTTTTAATGAACGATAAATTTGGGACATAGATTGTATAATCCAATAATTAAATGAAAAGGTTGCCTATTGCAGAATGAACTCATGTTCATCTGAGACAGAATACTTGATAACAAATCCAGACATTCAGAAAAAAATAAGGGGTGAAATCCATAAAGCATTTGCTTTCTTAACTGAAGAGAGGAAGAGAGAAATTCAATTTATTTATGAGGAGGAATTGATTGTTTTTAAATTCTTTAGTTAATGAGTAAACTTTCTGAAAATTGACTCATGTAAGTATGGAGTCGATCAGGGTCATGTTTTATGTAAATGTTTTGTATTTTCAACTTTGAAAGAAGCAGCTTAATTTCAAAAGAACTTGCTACTATGCAGCTTGTGTGAATGGTATTAAAAAACAAAACAGATGGCCACACACTGCTTCGAGGGGAAATAATTATGAGTTGATGGGAAGTAAGGCCATCTTTTAAAATTCTGTTCTTGATCAGTGATACACCAGGACGGCTAAGTATGTGAAAGCTAGCCATCTCCTGAAGGGTCTACAAATATACAAGTTCACTGTTGCACTTTTTCTCTTCCGTTCACACGACAATTACAACAAATAAAAAGAGAAACAAGAAATCTGTCTTTTTATATCCAAAGACTGTGACCAAAGGACACAACTTTTAAATACAATCGGATCACGCTCGCCCTTTTCCGTGACCGATAAAAAAATGAATACGATTGCTTTTATTAGTGCAAAGTTATTCCGGATAAATCTTATTTTGACTTTTATCTATCTACAAATTACATCCGGTATACAAAGTAACCAACAAAATGACAACCCAAGGCTAGAAGAAGAAGACGGTAACGATCCTTGCCAGGAATATACTTGTAAATATAAAATATGAAAGATTTTATCAAACAGCATGCACAGCTTTGGAAAGAATAGCTGCCAGTTACTCGATTAAGACATAACGTGTTTGTTGGCAGTATAAAGTGAGGGCTGCTGATTCTTAAATGCAAGTCAACTCCAGGGTTAAAACTCTTGGCATTCAAAAAAGTTCTCACATTTTCACAGAAATACAACTGTGACATATGAAAGCCCTGGTACTAACTTTTCAAAATTATTACCTAGTAGGACCAAGTACTCAATATGAAATTGCAAAATTATAATAAGTTAAAAATAAATGAAGAGGTTATCCTATAGGAATTTATTAAAATTTCCTATAGGAATATTTTTCCTATAGGATATTTATTTCCTAAGGGAAAAATAAAATCCCTTAGGAAAATTATTTTCTCCTGTAGGATTTTATTTTCCTGCAGGAAAATTTTGAGCTCCTATAGGAAATATATTTCCCTTAGGAAAGTTTAATCTCCCGTAGGAAAACTAATTCCTGTAGGATTTGACAAATTTCCAATAGGATTTTTCAAAATCCTGCAGGATTTCATGTAAATCCCTTGGGAATTATTAAATTCCTACAGGATATTTTTTTCTCCTAAGGGATTTTTTTAATTAAAGGTGAGTATCTCACCTGACAGGTGAGATACACAATAACAAAAGGTAGATATGATGTCTACACATCAAGGTCTTTCAGATGGCATCTTTCATTTTCCTGAAAATTGAATATTTGGCGGGCGCCAAAATGCAACTTTTGAAGTTGCATAATTATCCGGCACAGTGTTAGTCATCGTTAACACAAGTACAGCGATAATTTTTTATTTAATCAGTGGTTACTGGGGAAATATATATGATGTTATAAGTAAAACATAGTACCACCAAACAATGTTGTAAAATGAATTTAACTCAAACTCAGGTAGGAAATATCCAAGCAAATTTACTAAGTGATTCGATAACGGCAACCTCACTGTATTAGGGAATTTAATAGCAAAAAAAAGTGAAAATACCGGTTGTGCTTTTCATGTATTACATGTGTATTTTAAAATTCCTAATAGCCCAAGGGGATTCCTCAGTGCAGAAAACCACTACCCCCATCCTCAAAAAATGGAAACCCCGGGTGTAGCGCGATGCTAATTACACACCATGACCCATCATGTGAAATAGTTATAGTAGCCCTATATCAATTTCAGTATTGTTTTAAATTAATTAAAACAAATGACAAAAACAATAATTTAAAAAAAAAATCAAAATAAAGCAGACACTCAGTCAAAATCAAAGACAGAACTTTCACAGTTTTGACTGAAAGTTTTTCAGTAATATAATGAATCTCTTAAGTTACATATCAGGTGAGATAAACTTACATACAATTATTTAGTTGTGTCAATTATCCCATTTATCATCATCTCAGCTCACTTTGCGATTGTAATACTGTCTACATGAACCGATAATTTACAGCTGATTTATGAACAAACGATTGTTAAAATTTTCATTTCCCTTTCCAATATACATTGTCAGAACATACTTAGTTGGTTATGATATAAAATTAAATAATAAACACTTTCGATTTATTAAAGATTATCTAACAATATACGATCATTTACTAAATACTTCTCGCCCTCAAGAGAGTTAAAAAGACAGAGAAAATTCAAAATAGAAACAAGTGCAACTTAGGATTAATTGTTCCGATATATCTATTTTTATTTTGTGCACAATTGTTTTCAAAATTACATTAAAATCTATTTTCCTTAAACAAGAACCCAGCAATGGATAAATATTAATCGAATAAACTTACCTTTTCTCTTGTCAATCAAAAAATCTTGTTGACATTAAGTGTTTCTTAGTCGCCATATTTTTTTTTCCATGAAAACAAACGTTGTTATGATCAGGATCAACGGAAGTTGATTTTCGGAACTCTCGGGAATTTAGAGTTCCGAATGTAAAACTGAAACAACAAAACACGGTGCGTCCGTGAAAGCAACTTTTTTGGACACTTTTTTGGACAAATCGTCGTGTCCAAGTTTTCTTGGGTACTAACCTGCAAATACCCAATTAGGGTGTTTTAAGCATATTCAGCGACACTTCTTATTGGGTATACCCAATAAGCAAAAAGTACCCAATAAGTACAATCTTGGCATGAAAAATACCCAATAAATGCACTCTCGTAAACACGGACGGACGGACAAACCCAAATTAATATCCCCCACTTTTCAAGCGGGGGACAATATAAAGGTATTAGTCAAATTAGGTGACTGGCTACTTTGCTAGGTATTGCTCGATTTTTCTTAATTATCCCACATTTCCAACTGTCATTCATGGCCTGGCATACCAAACAAACTAGGTAGTGATTTAAACAAGCTAATTCAGAGAATTCGTGTCCCCCGCTTAGGGAAAAAGTCGGATCCCCCTGACTGAATTTGTAGAATTATTAAATGTATACATGTAAACTGAAGCAAATAAAATACATGTATGTCAATATGCATATAAAGATTTGATTGCTTATTCTTTATTATGTGTATAGAAGATTCTTTTTATATGGAATATCACACTGTAATGATGATTTTATAACCTCATAAATTTTTCATTTCACATGCTGAATACTATCATTTAGTAAAAAAAAAAGGAAGAAGGAGCGACCGGGATTCGATCCCGGGACCTCTCACATGTGAAGCGAGAGACATAACCACTAGACCACGGAATCTCTTTACTCAGTTTGAAGTATATGCAGAACTGAAGTCACATACATGTATATATTCATGTTCGGTATTCTCAAAATTTTACACAATCCATGGTGTTTGATTTATTTAGCCTTTATTAAACAGTTCTAATAGATGTAACAAGAACATAAAGTCCGCCGAGAACCTGTTTTATACGCAGTAACTCGCCTCATACCCCTGCGATAAAAATAGCGACATGTAAATTCTAATAAAACAAACGGGGCGGGCCACTTTGAGAGGGGCGAGAGAGGTCCTAGGGAGTTTTGGTATAAAATTACATTGCATAAGCTCAAAATCTTCCTGAAATATCGCCCGGAAATGATAGTGTTACACACAGACAGAATGTATAAATTTTCGACCTTGAACGTTGACCTTTTGACCTCAAAATCAATAGGGGTCTTCCTTAGGCCACAGGGAGTTGCTATATAAAATTTCATTGCAATAGCTCAAATGGTTCTAGAGATATCGTGTGGAAACGAAGGTGTTTTAACAGACAGAATTTGCTTATTTACGACCTTGACCTTTGACCTTTTGACCTCAAAATCAATAGGGGTCTTCTTTAGTCCATAGGGAGTTGCTATGCTAAATTTCATTGCAAAAGCTCAAAGGGTTCTCGAGATATCGTGTGGAAACGAAAGCGTTACAGACAGACAGAAAGACGGACGGACGGACAGACGGACGGACGGACAAACCCAAATTAATATCCCCCACTTTTCAAGCGGGGGACAAAAAAACTTATAGTAGCCTTATATTATTTACTTAAAGAAAATGCTGTAAAAGATACTGTAAAAGAATATTTACATTTTTTCTTGATTATGATCTTCTGACCTCAAAAATTTTACTGATAATATCAGGAAAAACTAAGTTAAACAATGTAGGATGTACAGTCTGAAGAAGTATAGCTGTTAAGTCTACATGTATCAGTAAATACATTTAAATATGCATAAAGTTATATGACTTCAATGTTACAGTGCATGTTGTCAATG